GCCGAGGCCCGTCGGAGCTGGTCGAGCCATCGACCTTCTCGTTGGTCGAGCCGGCAGCTGCCCCCGATTTCTTTTTTAGAGGCACCTTCCTCAAGGGAATGTTGAAACTGGGAGCCTCTGCACGAGCACATCAAACAGAATAAAATTGACATTAGCGTTTACATCGAGATAGGGGCAAGTATATAGAGACACTCAAATCAACCGAGCAAAGATCACTGGGTCATTATCGAGCCGAACGAGATCGAGGATCTCTTTGGTAGGAGGAGAAAGGGTTTTGTGAGTAAGAAGACCGCAGTAATGAAGAAGGTTATCGTCCTTGAAGAGCTTCTCGGACGTAACGGTCTTGGCATTCCAAGTGTGGATCCGTTGGTCGAAAAGGGCGTTTGCGGGAGGAGATGAGGCTGCCTCTGGAGAAACATCCTTAACCCATGGAACAAAGGGCCAAGAAAAAGGGACATCAGGCTGAACGAAAATGAACCTGTCGATCCATTTGGGAAGGTTGGTGGGGATGTCGTTTATGAAGTGTGCTCCGTTGCGGCTCTTAAGGTATATGCCTCTGCCCAATTTAGAAGGACAGTAACAATAATGGAAAAAGTCTAGATCGAATCGACCTAGACGGATGCGGCAAAGAATAATGAAAGTGGTTATGAAATGGATAGCGTTAGGGGGAAGTTGGTGTAGAGGAAGTGAAAACCACTCGCAGATACGAAGGATGTCGGGTTTGAGAGGAAAGCGCAATCCCAACTTGAATTGAACCTCGAAAAAGGTATAATAATCCCGGGGAGGATGGTCATACTTATCGGATTGAGACGAGCTGTAGAAAGACCAGCCGACGGGATGACCGATGTTTGAGGGATTAACCCAAAAGCTAGAGAGAGACAAGGAAGAGGATTTAGAGGTGGTGCTGGCTGATTTTTTCTTGGGAGGAGAGTTCGAAGGTCCGGGCGCGGAGGAAGAAGGGGGATGGGAGGAAATAACTTCGTCTTCCTCCGGTTCATCCATCGAACCAAAGGCAGGTCGA